CTATAACATAAAAACTAAGTACTGGAAACTTCTTGAGGGAGTGCACTTGTTCAAAGGCCTCTGATGTTGTCAGGTGTTCAAAGGGCAATAAAGTGAAAGTAAAAACAAAACACTGCAATCTAACGTATTTTCAAGTCAGTAAATAAATCAAATGGAGGTAATTACTATTGTTATAGGCTATATGCAGACATGCTCTACAGAGAGTCATTATTTTAACGTACACAACTGGTATTGTTGTATCGATACCGAAGGACATGAAACTGAAACCATTTCAAATAGGAATTATCGATATTCTTCAAAAACACTTTTGACAACAGCAGCTCTGAAGCTATGAGGAAGCTGATTTCTACTTTTTAGATTCTGACCTATTGATTGCTTTATATAAACCAGTAGCACAAACAGTAGCATAAACTTCTGCAATATCTACGAAAATATCTGAACACAAAACAGGGGATGATAAGAAAACTTAACAGTCGCAGCTCAAAGCTCTCATGTGGTGGGAAATAAAGTAGAGCTGTTCCAAGTTGTCTTGCAAGCAGGGCTGGGCAATAAATCTTTTTTATTGTTTACCATCCCTCTTTATAATCACATTGTCACGAAATGCTCATCGTTCATGGTTGCCAAATGAAAAATAGGTTAAATTTGACCAAAACGGGCCACAGACAATCCGTCAGTGAAATCTAGGAACGCACATCTTTTGAAAATTATAGGATTGCGATCTATAAAAACACTAGGTAACCATTTTTGACTCAATGGCATAAACATGAGTTTAACTTTTTAGCATTCCCCATACACTTCTTTAAATAGAATCACGAGACAGAGTCCAGTAGTCTGTAATTGCAACGTTCCCAGTTTGCTTCAGCTGGGAACATCTGTTGCATGTCATTACCTCCTATCTCCTGTTTGTCGAGACAGTCCTCTGTAAAATACATGCAACAAAATACCATATTAATAGGCTTGTGACACACTGTTAATGTAAATTATGTTACCATGTTGAAGAGATACCACTGTGATTATTTCCACAATAACAATTTACTGTAGTTCCCACTTCTATTTGCAAGAAAAGTGAACTAACATTTGTTCACAAAACATGTAGTAACAGGCCTGTAGGAGTCAACAGTTGTGAAAACATTTGATTTTGGGTAAGGATTTCATCTTCACAGTCAGTGCACAAAGTCTTTATTCCTCTTTTTTGTGCCAGTCCTGACCTCCACCTTCAAAACAAGAGCTCTGCACCACACGCACCTAATGAGTTTGAGGAAGTGTGCATCACATGTCTGTTATCTGTCTCGAAACAAGCACTTTGTCTGACAAAAACAACCGCTTGCTGTATTTCCCATTCATAAATGATACAGACAGACAAGCGATAAAGACTGGACCCATACTAGCGCTGTCATCTTCTGCTGAGTTTCCCTCAATACACAAATGAAGGCAGCCTACTTCTGCTGCATTTGAATGATTGGCCTAGAAAAGAAGCAACTGGCCGTCCTCTGGACTCTCCGTCTCCGCTAAGAGATGCAGCAACGCCACACACATATGAACAAGCATGTGCACGCCAGACATGAGAAAGTGCTCCCTCCTGAGTTTAAAAACTCAGGAAAAACCGGGGAAGGAAATGCCAATCATTTCAAGTTGGATTATAAGGTCAAAGCAGCCCCTTGGCTTGGACCACCAGCTGCAAATTCACAGATAGGAAAACTTGCAGAATTTTGCTTGTGTCAGCAACATCAGACTCCTTTAGAACATACTTGACAGATGGTGGGGGACGTCAACTGGATAGGCTGGTTTACAGGGAAGAACCAGACACAACCTTACACCCCTGGCCTGACTGAGAGATGGCAGGGTGAGCCACTCCCAGCAGATCTACACTCTGCACGTCATCTTCTCAAGTATGACCAGTCACCGGCCCCTCCCTTCTCTTCATATGGAGGCAGCTCATACCAACATGCACACAAAGACTGGGCTCAGCTGAATGGCCTTAATGGCAGCAGAGCTCCTGGCCACGGCAGCTCAGACCAGCTGAATGGTCCTCATTGTGTCCCCATGGTCACAGGGGGCGAGCAGAACTGAGTTGTTTTTTAAGAGGCCATTTGGCAGCCCTGTGTTCTTATCCGAGCAACGCAGGAACAGGCATTTCCACTTGGTTTAGATGAAGGCTTGTTATGGACTTTAAAAAAAATGGCCTATGAGGCAGCAATATTAGGCATGCATCCGGTCATAAAGAGGTGTAAGCATGCAGGAAACTAAAACACTCTTAACATTAAGATATTAAGCTATCAAGGCTGATTGAGACTTTATTCCCTCTTTTTTCCACCATATTCATTGCTGGAGAGCTGCAGTCTGAAAAGCATTCACAATGTATGCAGTCAAACACATGTTGAAGGCACACGCTGAGTGAAAGTGAACCAGAATAATGTCAATTTGGTAGTAAAAATGTTACTGTTCAGCAACTAACTCTGCAAACTTACATTTCTCACAAGCACTTGAATGCAACAAACAAGGAAGAGACTTCAAAACACCAACTGCAGCAAGATGTGTAACTGACTGAAAATAAATGCAGCATGTTTTGCACCGGAATAGATGACCACAAGAGAGTTTCAGGAGTTTAGCAAGACAATTTCAAATACATTTTGATATGCATGAGCACCAGTAACTGGCTGGGCTGGGCTGGGCTGGGGAAATAATGGTTTTTCACACCCCCATTGGTGAAAATCATGCCTTTTAACTTTATTTTTTAATGCTAGAAGACGTATCACTGACAGAAATGACAGATTCCCACTTGATGAGTTTCATGTCGAACAAACATAAGGAACCAATTCTATCAATATGAATGGTGAAACTTTCCATATCATTATTTTTCTTTAGAATCGGTTTCTGGTTCACACATGTTTGACTCAACAACATCAATACTACAGGTCGTTGCTCTGTCGCACAGAGTAGTTATAATGTGTGTAATGTAGTTACATCGAAGGAATCATAGGGCAGAAATTAATTGTTGTCATAGAGAAAATAAGCATTTAAATAACCTATAATGTAAATATGTAAATTACACAGAGATTACTTTTTAGGAGTTAAACTAATGACCGGCGTAGGACTTAATGACAATACTATGGTGGGCAATATGGACAAAACACTACATCATAGTATTTGTAATTGTATATAATAAATACAGTCTATATAAGTATAGATTGCAGTGTCATAAATTAATTTATAGTTTATTACTGTCTCAAGCAATCACAGGGAAACTAATTAAATGTCTAACAATCAAACGGATGCAAAAATCACATAAAAATGTTTATATTGCCATAAATCAGTGCAGTCCTGAGATGCAAAAAGGATAGTTACCAAAGTATAAACAGGATGGCACAATCACTGTAGACATTTTTATCCTCAGAAGTGGATGGCCATATCAACCACTAGCTGTAATGTAGGCATCTGTTGTTTGTGATTATTGAGAAAAATCAACAAAAACTAGTAGAACTGGTGAAACTCTTCAGCAGGTCAGATTAACAAATTATACACTAGTTCACCTAGACCTGAATAACACATTAGCCTCAGACGACATCCTAAAACACCTGCAGATGCACTAATATCAGCTGACTTTCAGTACTGGCTGCATCAATGACATTCTCATAACTAGATGGAACATTCTTTTAATTTTACTTTTATTGCAGATATCACATAATTTAACAGTCAAATTATTCTTTTTTTTTTTGTATGATGGTTCTTTATAAAAGCTTGATTATGGGAAGGACTGACATTATGAATTTGTGTTAGTTACAATAATGCCAGCATTGGTCAATAATGTGGAGGAAATATCTGACACTGGTTATCAAAAAAACCTCTCGTACCTTTAAAATAATGTTGCTAACGCTTTTGGAGCAGTATACAGTGTGTGGGCACTGCACAGGATGACTGGATTCAGCTTCGTGTACGTAGTCTAGGTGCTATAAAGCAGGGGAAGGGGGGAACTGTCAGGGATGTGTGACAGTGTGTCATTGGTGGTGTAAAGGGGCTAACAGCTGCTCTGGGGGAGGGGCTCATTTGGACTATGCCTGGCATGAATTAATTGTTCCACATATGAGTAAACTACACACATCCATCACTGGCCTCCATGAGAGTACACAAAGACATACACCTGACAAAGAGCTCACACAATTAGTTGACCACAAGATTGAGGGTGGATGAGGAGCACAGGCAGGTAAACCTATAATTCCAGTAATGGCAGGTTTACACAGGTGTATAAGGTTGTGCACACATTTTTGTTGATCACTCCCGTGAATGTCAGTGAGGTCATACCCTGCTGTGTGGTAATCACTGACAGTCATTGACAACAGACAGGATCTTCATATGACACCAGAGCAGATGATGACTGTAGGCCTGGTCATTACATTTCAACACCAGCCTGAGTGACTCACAGATTTACAGCAATACAACGTGTTTCCTCCTGAAATCTGAACCCACACACCTTGTCTAAGATTCGTACGATATGGAAAGCCGTGTGGTAAATCAAATCCGTACCATGTGAAGGAGTATAACAAAGATGACAGGAGAAAGGGTCAAGCCCTGTTAGCCAGACCTTGCCTGTGGCGATGCCAGCCTGTCAGACAGCTCCAGTCACCGAGCTGTGGCTTTGACATTCATATCACAAAGCAAACCAGGAGCACAGACACACGACTTCAAATCAACGTGTAGCTGAAAACGAGCTAAACACGAGGGAATGGATGAAAGCCTTTCTCTTCCTCCTGCACAATGCTGCTTGTCATGCACTGCTAGCTCGCAGACACACATCCTGTATTAGCACAGAATAAGCTAGCTGGTACAGCCTGGCGTGTGCTCTCATTCAATGTATTATCAAAGAAAAGTAGGTGAGGAGAATGGAAACTGTTGGTTTTATCGAAGCCGGTTCGCCCAGACAGCTGAGAGACACACAGAGCTAGCTTGAAATTCTGCTATAGCATCCCCCCGTCAGCCCCGTCAGCCCCCCTCCCCTCCTTTACCTTCAGACAGCTCCAGATCCAACTCCGCCAACTGGTCTCTAACCTCTTTTGGCAGGGCGGACAAATCCACGCCGCGGTCTGCCATGACTTCGCCGACGAGAGTCTAAGTCTAGTTGAAAGGACGCCGGGCGGTTGCGGGGAAACGTAAAAAACATAAAAATAAAACCTCTCCCTCAAGACACAAAACAGGCATCAGAGTGGGAGAGACGGTCCATCCGCACGGCTGGTCCTTCCGCCATAATGGGAGAAACTCACCAACGGCAACGCGCGGTCACGTGACTGCGTGTACCTCGCCTGTGTGTTGATTCACCGCATCCGAGTCTGGAGGAGCGACCCGGCGCTGCTGCTCCCTCTGCCGCCTCACCGGCAGAAACACAGGCTCACTGCACCTCCACAGGATCCCAGAGAAAAAAAAGTTCACGTTAATGAGCTGGACATCTAAAGTCTGTGGCCAGCTGGTGTACAAGAAGTACCAGGACATCCTATAAACCTGTACGAGCGGAGACTTGAAACTAGTGATTAACACCACAAAGGCATTAGGAAAAAGATTACTGAAATAATAAATAAAATGAGAATTGGGTCGTTTTTTTAATGAACTTCAAGACAATCTGACTTCATTTTGTATGCCCTGCTGGCTGTTAGAAAGAATGCAGGTTTAAAGGGTCCCATGTTGTAACTCTTTTTAGAAAATTAATGAAAGTCTCACATGTCTCCAGGGTGCGTTTTTCAATTTCTCTGCTCAAAATACTGCGAAGATTGTAAATTTCACTGCCACTGTATCAATTAGGCAGTTTCAGTGCCTGTAGCTTTAAATGCAGGAGCCAGGCAGATGTCCAGGCCCCCTTCAGGAAGAAGACTCTCTGGGCATCTGTGGCTCTAAACCCCATTCGTGTTCTTTTTACTTTAAGTACATACTACAGCTGCCCTCACAAACTATGTATGGTTTCATGCAGTATGCATATAATTGGGACAAACTAAATCTTTTTCTGGCATACTATATAGCATGTTATTATGTTGCTCCCTCTGCTGCCCCACTGGCAGAAACACACACATATTAAACCTCCAGTGGATCCTTCACAGGATCCCAGTGGATTCACACAAAAAAAATTTAGATTAATTATCTGGATAAGTGTGTTCACAAGTAAACTCTGTGACCCGCTGGAGTGCAAAAAGTGCCAGGATATCCTATAAACGTCATGCTGTATTGAAACCAGCCACCTTAAACTCTTTAAGAAAATGTTGACTGAAGTAACAAATCAAGGGTGAAGTGTGCTTGTTTTCTCATAAACTTTTACAAAATCTGACTTCTTTTGCAACCAGAGGAGTCGCCCCCTGCCAGCTATTAGAAAGAATGCAGGTTTAAAGGTCCATCCTGTGGCCCTTTTTAGAAAATTAAAAAGTTTCACATGTCCCCAGAAGGCTGCAAGGTGGAACACTGGTTAGCACTGTTGCCTCGCAGCAAGAAGGTCGCCGGTTCGCGTCCCGGTGAGGACACCCTTGATCTTTCTGCGTGGAGTTTGTATGTTCTCCCTGTGCAGAATGGGTTCTCTCCGGGTTCTCCGGCTTCCTCCCACACAGTCCAAAAACCTGTTGAGGTTAATTGGTGATTCTAATTTGTCCGTAGGTGTGAATGTGAGTGTGCTTGGTTGTCTGTCTCTAAGTGTAGCCCTGTGATAGACTGGTGACCTGTCCAGGGTGTCCCCTGCCTTCACCCTAAGTCGGCTGGGATAGGCTCTAGCCCCCTCGCGACCCTAGTGAGGATTAAGCGGTGTATAGATAATGGATGGATGGATGGATGTCCCCAGAGTGTGTCTTTCAATTTTTCTGCTCAAAAATACCATAAAATGGTTCATTTCACCATGAATGTATAGCCTTGTTTTTAGTTCTGTTCTAAATGGGCTGCTTTACTGGAACATACTACAGTTGTCATAACATTGCATACAATCTACAAGTGAAGAGTTTGTCCATTCGGATGCAGCTTTTATTTCACACCTCCCGGTTTATAAAAACCCCGAAACACAATAAAAATTGATTTTCACCACATGGGACCTCTGGGAGACAGTATAGGAGCCCCCAGACAGTTTCTTTCTATCTGCTATCTCCCTGCTGAACTCTGCCTGACGAACTCTCAAACAAAACAAAACAAAACAAAATAAATAGACAACAACAATAGATTACAACTATGTATCAATTATATAAGTAGTTGCCCGTGAATGTTTTGGTCTATTTACTAGTTATGTACTCGTAATATATCAACTGGTCATCTCCTGAAAAGTGTGCACAGTCACAGATGGTAGTAAAGATTTAACGCTCTATGATCCTACTTTAGAGGAAGAATTTGTTTTTCAGTTGTACCTAAGTTCATGTACTTCGGCTGAAAACTGCTCTAGTATAAATCCAGAACTCTGAGCACTCACGGCCATCTTCAATAGGCCAATGTGGCATTCAGACTGTAACCATTATAAAAATAAATATATCCTTCCACCCAGTGCCTCTGCAATTAAGGATCGTTTACAAAAAGTTATGATCATGTTTTCCCTATAAGAAACATAGACATTGTCTTACAAGGAAAACAAGCTTCAAAGAAAACTGAACATAACAGCGTAATTGTAGGCTACTGTCACTTTTTTGCATTTCCAAAATTACTTGAGTTCAAGACCAAAAACATCAATCTAAAGGCAGGGCCATCGCAAGGATTTTCTAAATACTGAAATTGTGAGTCCAAGCCCTCGAAGGCACCCTAGTGTAATGAACAAATGGCATGGGCATTTACAGTTGTTTTTGTATTATTATTATTTTATGTTTTGATCAAAAATGCCTAATGAGGGCAATCAAAAAAGGAGGGAAACAGAGACAAAGGGAGGAAGTGAAACAAGAAGAGACAAGCAGAAATGTAATTTTAGATAATGAATCATTTATCATCTGTTTTGGTCCAAACTTTAAAACCACTGAGTACAAAATTAGAATCACTCCCAATAAGGTGTACATTTTAATGGTAGAATGTAGACCTCCCCTTAGGTTACTATGAGCCCCAAACTGCCATAAAAATGTGGAAGACGTGATCTAACTGTGCGAGCGGCTTTGGCCATGAAAGTTGAAGACTTTTCTAACACACTTTACAAGTGCATGAAAAAACTATTTATAACTACACACAGGAACCAGCTTTAAATAGTTTTGTAGTTCTTTCTAAAGAAATCATTAATAACCACTGAATGGGGAGGGAAAACTGTGAACAAACCACACATAGTACAATGTTCTTACATACGTTCTCTAATGTCAGTATCATATTTTACTAAACTCTGGCTCATTTACAGAAAATGTGTTTTTGGTCATTGAGAATCTAAGTTGAAAATAGACCAAAGACCATAATGTTCATTTAGATGTAGTTTCTTTAATCAAAACTGCAGCACTGTAAGTGTTCATGGTATTCCACTTGGACATGCATGGAAAAGTAAATATATTCATATAGTACAGATATGTACAGTACAGGGACAAATTTTGAAATCATCAGTCCAACAATGGGAGTGTGAAAAAACATTAATACACTATGTGCAACTTTCACATTGTTGCGTTTCTCATTTAATTGCTCTTTTCATAACAATTCTAAGTAACATTAAAAGGCCAAATACTGTAATGAACATTATTTGACCAATTAAAAAAATAAGTTAGACAAGAACAGTCAAACGTCAGGACCAAATTCATCTTAAAAGATATAACAAAGGGGATAACATTTCTTTTTGAAAAAGGACTACATGTTTCTGTTGAGAAAACAAACCAACAACAACAAGAAATCTTTGTGTTACAGAAATTAGTCTCTATATTCATCAGTACAATCAGAAGCGTTATGACAAAGGTTGTATAGTGCCGACAACAGCACACGACAAAAGAAAAACAAGAAATGACAGAAAAGGTGCCGGTGACACGAATTACACGAAAACATGAAAGCTAAATACAGTTTGACTTGTCATTTCATATGAACAATCGTCTATACGGGATTGCAGGCAAATATAGTGCCAGCAAGTACAACAAAATGCCGGGGTCGCCATTGGGACTGTAGGATAAGAGGTTCAGTCAAAGGTTAAAGTTTTAAAGTTGATGAGCAAATTCCCATTCGTGTATACAGTACAGATAAAGAGGAAACCAACATTTAAAAAAAAAAAAAAAAAAGTTCTGCTATCTCTGACAAAGACCAGGACAAGAGAACTGTAAAAACTTAAAATGAACAGTAATACAAAGCGACAATAAACTTTAGTGCATAAAAGACATGTCCTTACACTGATCTGCCATAACATTAAAACCACTGACAGGTGAAGTTAAAGACATCAACAGTCTAGTTGTAATGCACTGTTCTGCTGGGAAACCTTGAGTCCTGCATTCATGTGTGTGTTACTTTGACATGTAGCCACCTAAACACTGCTGCAGATCAAACACACCCCAGATAATGTGCCCCTCAACAACACCAAATCTGCTAAGCAACACATGAAGAACACAATAAAGAGCCCAAGTGCCACCCTACAAAGTCCCACAAGCTAATCTAACCAAGCATCTGTGAAATCCACCGGAAAAAACCTGATCCACGGAGGCCCCACCCCGCGACCCAAAGGATCGTCTGTCAACGTCGCGGTGTCAGACCCCCCCCAGAGTTCCCGTGTCAACGCTCAGACAGGTCAGAGCTGTCCTGGCAACACGAGGGGGACAAGCACAGTATTAGGCAGGTGGTTTTAATGTTGTCACCGATCGGTGCATGTTAATGGACAGATATCTTGTTTTTGAAACATCACATCTTGCAAATATATGATCGTATCAGACAACAGAGGGCAAAAGAGGGAGAGGGGAGGGGGGCAGAAATATACAAGAAAAACAAGAAAAGCAAACCGCTTGTTTCGGTGTTTCGTGTAAAAATATATTGATATCTGGGTAAAACCTTCTTGGTGGGATTTCTAAAGAACTGGAACCTATAAGAAACAGTCACAAGTTGTCTTTTTTTCTGCCCCTAAAGCTTTGACCGCTGAAAATGTCTTTGCTGTGTCTCTCCACCAGATGACAGACAAGTACTGTTAGATTTTTAGCAAGTATTCTATCACTGAAAAGAAACATCTTTTTTTACAGGCTTCAAAAAATCCTCAGCAAGTCACTAAATCTGTAGTTCCTCATTGGTTGTTTTTCATTTGATGAACTGAAGAAAAAAAAATTAAGACAAATATATATTTCTCTGAGGTTCTGTTATTTTTCCACAAGAGCAAATCTGTGTGTGTTTAAGTGGGAATATCGGAGGCACCAATGTGATCTTAAGGCAAAATTATCAGACGTTGTATGTGAGACTGTGTTTTAAGTGCAAGTTAGAAGCAGTGATATATTGTGACCTCTGAATCATAAAATAACAGTCAGACTATTTACTTCCCATCACCAGAACAAGTACCAGGCGGTCTTTGGAGATCCAGAGATCTGTTTTGTTGTCGGTATGGCTTATTTTAGGTTTGGTAAAGAGCAAAGAGACTAAGGGGGTTCATCGCACTTCCAACGAGCAGCAAGGATGTGCAAGCATCCTGAGAAGTGTGAAAATAACAGTTACAGTAAGTCCAGGGCCCACACAGACGAACACAGTCTTGAAAATAGTTTCATATAAAATGGAAAAGGCATCCACTTACAAACCAATAAACAGCTAAACTACCTGCCTGTGTTGAATGAAAGGTGTGAAGGTTGGGAGAGGTTCAATTCCTTTCAGCTCAGATGAAAAAAATTGCTCCAAAAAACTGATTTTAAGTCACAATCCAACATATTTTGTTTCTGTGGATTAATCTGGGAGGATGTGCCAATTAGTTTAAAAAATATAGCTGCACATACTGTATCAAGAACATAACACCCTATTAGAAAAAGTCACATGCTAACAATCTAGCTAATAATGCATCAGATCAGGAGTAGGCAAACTGCTATGTTCTGATGTACATAAATATACAATCACACACACAGTTAATACATTTTATCATAAAGGGGTGTACATGAGGTAAGGTTTCTGGGTCCGTGTTGAGATCACTTTGAGGTGGAACCATTTCCAAAAGGTCTGGGTGAGTAATTGAGATCTGAACATCAGCGTCAGAAATTCTAGATAATTACTGCATCTTTGGAGCCGAGGATGTATAGGGACGTATGCTGTGATGGTATGTGTGGGTGTGTGCATGGCTGAAAAGTCGAGGAGCGCAAGGCACTATTCCCTGCTGAAAACAGTGTAAAGCCCTGTGTGTTGTTTGGTATCTGATTTGATCAAGAATGTTTATGTAACATCTGTGTGTCTGAAACTGTGCACACGTGTGGTACGTGTCCACATGGGCAGTTCCATTACGGCAGTATACTTGATGCAGTCCTACAGTCCAGTGAAGAGTCATTTCGACTGTGGGTGAGAATGATGAGCAGGGAGGCACGGGGGGAGGGATGGGTTTGGGAAACCAGGGGGAGGGGTATTGGAGTCCAGCCCCTGTAGTCTATGGCAAAGTGAACAGGAAGCTCTCTCAAAAGTCTCAGTCCATTCCCAGAAGGCTGCTGCTGAGCTCCAGGCCACAGCATGATGGCTCCACAGGAGGGTTAGAAAGAGCACAGAGGGAGGGAGGTGGGGAAGAGCAAAAATGTGAAATTCAGGCTTGAAGATCGGGGAAGTTGGGAGGTGGGAGTCTTTTCTACCCCTGGGTGATGAGCCAAGTCTGGGCCATGGTGGCATCGCTCATCATCTGGCAGCCGATTGAGACTGTGCAGCCATGATAATGTGAGAGGCTCCACTCTCAGCCCTCTGCTGCTGCCCCATTCCTGCCAGCACAGACATAGCCATGGCCTCAGCTGCTGCCCTTGAGCTCAAACCGTTGTGCCCTGCAGAGGGGCTGGGCGCCAAAGAGCTGTGCTGAATCACCGGGGCTGGGGAACCTGTAGGCTCTGAGGTGTCTTTCATGCTCTCTTCTGCAGCTTAACAGAAAATAAAACACAAGTACAGATTTAGAATTTAATTGGCAAATGCATTAACCTTGAATAGACTCATTATTCTCACACTGAATAGCTTTGGACATTTTGTTGGTTGCTTAGCAGTAAAACTGTAGCTAAATTTAGAAACATTATTCCAGTCCAAAAGCCTGGAATTCTGCTTCCAATAGTTATGAATGAGAGAATACAGATTAAAGATACTGGAAACTAAGAACTGTCATGAAATAATGAAAATTATAAATGTTTCTCTACCTGAGTTTTACTGTTTTTTTTTTCCGTTTGGTTAATTTCAAACCTCTACAGCTGTTGCCAAAAGAAATTAAATCTTAATGATTCTAACAAAACTAAAGAATTTCTTTTTTGTGAGCACAGAAAAAAAAAACACAATTTACATGAAAATGCTGCAACCGCGGCAGCACGGCTACTTCAGCGCAATCTGTAAAACACACCGACACAAACATCTGAAGTCTGACACCTGTTCACTCCTCTATATCCTGCTGTTATTACACGTCTGAGCTAGTCGGGACCCCTCCCCTCATGGTGTCAATGCTTCTGTCAAACGGTGACTTTTAGCCCACAGTCTAGTGTAACGCTTAAGCGAAATGGTATTTGATAAAGGATGCAAAAAAAACCCCCAAAACTAAATAGTACATAAACATGATTATATAACACTATCACCCCTATGTGGTTATAAACGGCACATGATATACAGTTGAGGAAGGTTCTGTTCTAAATCTGTATTTTTCGCCAATTAACAAAAGTCAAGGGGATTTTAAACAAGGTTTTATTCACTCCTGGATCAGAACCTTAAAGTTCTGGTTTCCCGTTAGCTCCCTATGCTTTCCACAGTACATCCCCTGTATTTCTACATATGTGAGAAATGCTACTCTACAGCAGGTTTTCTGTAACTTTAAATACCTTGAGGTGAGTATGGAGGAATAACTGTGCGTGGCTCACCTAAGTAGGCAGTCTTCTTTTGTAGGGTGGTTACAGGACAGTCCTTGTGGGCCAAGAGCAGCTGCTTCAAATGAGCCACTTCGTTCCGCAACAGAGACACTTCATTCTGACGGGGCAGAAAACAGACCAATCAATAGAAGACAAATGACTAATGCAAATGATTTAAAATAAAGAGACCCTTCAAACTTGACAAGCAGACATACAGCATAAAAAATGACAAAAAAAACTACAAATGAGAAGATATGAAACAAGTTGAAATGGGTTCCAAGTGTTGCAAACTGGTCCATTTGTGAAATGACCCAATATTTCCTTAAACTGATTTTCTTGTCTGGAATCCATCTCTCAAACTTCAACAACTACTTAGAGCCTATCAACTGTGCACAGTTGGTGTGGCTTTGCACACACTAACACCACACATCATCCCCGTCCACCCACTCTGAGCCTACTCACCGACAGTGAGACGTTCAGACTGCTGAGCTCCTCGGCCTTCTTCTCTAGGGAACTAACCCACAGTTTGCGTTTCTGTCTGCAGCGTGATGCCGCTGCCCGATTCCTCTCGAGGAAGCGCTGCCTTCGCTCATCTGGGTCATCGTCTGCTGTCCGCCGTCGACGCCCACCTGTAGGCTGTGCTGGAGATACCTGGAGGGAGAAGAGGGGAAATGGTCAGAAGGAAACAGACAGACAAGTGAGGGGAAGATGACGAGAAAGAAAAAGGAAGTTTGAGTCATTGTTTCATCATTTTAACCAGCACACATAATAGTCATCTTCACACAAGTACAACCCAAATTTTCTGAACCGCAACCGGCGATATGCCACATATCAAACAAGGTTTAGTTCAGTTACATTTGGTTGCTTCAAAGACTTTCCAAGCTGAAAGAACACTGGCGCTGGCCCTGAAAGTCATGTTACAGGCATTTACTAAGCGCAACATAAAGCACCTGAGGTTGTGCAGGTGATGGAGCATCTGGCTGCTGGACAAGCAGCTGGCTTTGTTCTGCCCTCTGAGGTACCATGGGGCTGCTGCCCATGGCCATCACCCCCATACTGTGTCCTGACGGGCTCTGCTGGGACAGCGCTGCCTTCAGTCGCTACAGAGGATCAATTACATAAGCAATATCAATAACAAGCACAGGGATTGGAATACACAGCACACGCCCACAGTATGAACAGTGCAATGTAGGTATAAAAGAAACTGCTTCATCCCTGTAGAGACGAGCTAATCACAGAAACAAATGCAAAGACAATAGGCAAGATTTAACAGGAATAACACACTGATGATCTCAATGAACCATCTGAACCCAGCAACTTATTTGCAGTTTCAGCAAGAATACACTGCAGGTATCTTTGATTTTCCCTCAAGTAAGGTGTTGATCACAGTTTAAGATCCTCTCTTGTGAAAATTATACTTTTGACCTTGTCCATATGGTTTTTATCATGTGCAAAATAAACATGGTTGAGTACATCCACCTTGAAACTGCCGTGTACCAATGGTAGTCTTAAAAACATGGATTCAGACTTCCAGGTTTCATACGTAGCAAACCTAAATAATCAAGCTGGCAACTTGCAGGGTGAGACCTTCTTTATCATTACTCTTCAGAATGGGTTTCTAGTTTGCCCATGAATGGCTGAAATAGTTGAATACTACAATTTGCCATAGTGTAGTTCAGAGTAGTTTTACAGTGTTTGAATAGAACCGTAGGTAAGCTGGTGAGCTTAAGCTGCAGCGAGTAGGGAGGTGGTACATGGAAAGAGAAATGGGATTTCATAGATCTGCACATTCTAGTGGCATACTAAACATGTAACTTGGATAAACATTTGGCCCAGAGAGAGATGTAAAGTACAGGAGGAGTTGAGTGATGTAAGTTAATTTATTTCTAATGGAAAAGTCAGAATTCTCTAAGAAGTGAATTTAAAAAGGTTCTCTAGTTCTGCAAAAATCCTCGCCAATGCTGGTCTGGTAGTGTTATATACTTTCAGTTTGCTTTCAGCAACACATTCATGTGACATCCTGTTCTATCTCAACCTTTTAGTACTGGTTTCAGCTCTGGAGGCTTTATATATTCCATCATATGATGTAGCTGGATGTTGATGATTTGTGGATGTCGTTTTGTGGTGGTACATTACACAACTGGCAATAATAATTTAGAAACAACTGACTGTGGCCCTGAAGGCATACAACTGCTTAACAGCACATTCATGTACACAGCAGGCTTCTGACAATGATCTTTTGGTATTAAGAGAACCATGTGTTCACCCAGAAAAAAATCTGCACACCAGCAAAACACTCCTAGCCTTTACTTAGACCAATGATAATGAAACTAATGATCGAAGGAGCATCAGTTTGTGCAAATAAAGAGATCTAATAAAGTGGTTACTTTGCTTTTTTTTTTCTTTTTTTTTCAAAAAATACTAGCAGTACCTACTCTCATTTGGTTTCACCTGAAACATGGTTTAAAAGTGGGATCTTTGTACAGAGGTTCATGTGTTCTTTGCAGTATCATAACTTCAGTACAAATTATTTTATTGACTGTAAGGGTTAAATAAACAAGTAACTGCTGTAAAAAGTCATATGATGAACAAACTGAGCCAGCGCAGAGGAAGGCTGGAGGGTGATGATGGAGACAAAAAAGAAATAAAACAGATAAAGATATAAAAATAGAGAGCTAATCTAGTGCTGACCATCTTGGCCTCTGAGTGGATGCTGTAGCCAGAGGGGGAGTTAGAGCCGCTGCTGCTGCCTCCCAGAGGAGGACCAGGGATCCCAGGAATGTTGGGTACCATGCACATGGGTCGGGCCAGCTGGAGACCATATATGATACACAAATACATACGGATTAAAACTTAACCAACTTCTCAGCTGTAAAGTTGAGATACTACATTTTTAGACTGTCGAGCCGCCTTACATTAATGACAGACGGCATCTGTACGGGTCCAGGGAGAACGGGCACTGCCTGACCAGAGGGAAGCATCATCATGGGGTAATGGCTGGTTGGTGAACTAGAAAACACACATATGGGATTGTATTTATACCCCAAAATACACACTTTAGAGTGCAGACAAAAACTTCTCAAACAGACGAGTCAAAAACATACACACAATGAATGCATTTCAAGTTTTGCAGTGTCAAAAAACATTGCGGCATCTTTGATATGAACGGTTCACTCGTAAGAACATACATGGGATACTGTCATTGTGTTTAAAAGCTTTCAAGCTACATAAGATAGATTTCAGAGGTTAGCAGAGGTCAGCACATGGATGCTGAATTATACTCACCCCAAAGTACGATTTGAAGGTGGTGCCTGTGTGATGACGGAGGTGGGTGACGGCATGGTGGGCTGAAGAGCATCAAAGCCCAAGTGTAGTGAGAGGGAACCTGGACGTACAATGGTTGGGGTGGGGGCTGAATTCCTGGGTGGTGTGTCCTAGGAGATTAGCGATGTGGTAAAGCAGGTAAAACACAGTTTAAAAACAGAAAATTGGCCATTTGTGTCAGGCATTATTTTAATGAAAATATCATATTGGTGTGCTCAAACATTTTTTGTAATACTGCAGTCACAATAGTGTGTAAGGAGCCATACTCTATATCATTCACAGTTACACACCTCTACTTTATACACTCATGCAATTCCCCCTTCTCCCATCTTTGTCCTACCTTTCCTCTAGGTAGAGGCTCTATGTTGCTGTCTGAATTCTCAGAGATAGATTCAGGGCTGTCTGGTGGTGAAGAGTCAACCTCTACAGGCGCCTCCTTTTTCACCTTCACGTCTGATGGTGTCTGAAGGCTCATGTCCAAAGCCACAGAGTTGGCAGCAGGGAGCTGAGAAACGAGAGAGAATAAGTTCACACCACTCATAGACAACAGAATATAAAAAAAGGAAGTGGGCATTTATCACAAAAACTAGACAGCCACAGCATAGGCTTACAAAACACTATTTTAAGCGCAACAAAATACAGAACCATTTAAATTAGATCATCCTAACAAGCTGATTAATCAGCAAAGTGTGAATGGCAGGAAATTCAAGCTATCAACATCAACACTTAAGGTAAGAACAAAGGAAGTGCATTTTACAAGTACAATTTTTTTTGCTACATTGGAGTCTTTACAGGAAATTCCCCTGGTTTTTGTACATAGTAATGGATGTAGTCATGCACACGTATAAAAAGTGGACAACCCCAATCCTTTCTTACAGAGTTTTTGGCCCTCTTGTCATCATCATCTTGTTCGAAGGAGCTGGCAAGCTCATTAAACAGACCGACCTCCTCGCAGTTCTTTAGGAAACGGGTGGGAGTGGGTGTCTGGTCTGAGAAAAGGCAATGAACATACATAACTATTCAAAGGAACACTATCACACTTTGTTCACACTTAGCACTGAATATGGAAACCCATGTAAAGGTGTGTTAAATAGTCTTCATCTGAATGCTGCAAGAACACATTAATCAAGACGGTACAGCTACACTGGGCGTTTGTCTTATAGAGAAACTGTACCTGCAATAATAACAGAGTCGGTCCGAGCTGGTCCAAATTTCAGAGTCATTTCATGCTTGTGTTTGTGTACCGCCAAGTGGTCCTCATTGGTAAACCTCTGGAGCAAGGAACACGAAGAAAACAGGAAAGATAAGAGCATTATATGAATTAGCCTACAGGTAATTGTAACTGTGTCCTAGTGACCTGCAGAGACAGCCTATATTACCTTAACCCAGATATCATATTGCAAAAATCACAGACAGATAATCTCTTGGAGACGTAGCCCAACACATGCTGCCTATAAACATTATGTGACAAACCACAAAGAAAGCTGTATCTGTGGTGTACAATTCCTGATGTCTAAAAAGGCCTGTACAGGTCCATTATAGCCACAGGATATGGGCTCAAATATCCATACAGCAACTAAAAAAATTCTAGAAAATGATAAAGGGATACTATGGATGGGGGTTGAAATTACTAAAATGATTTTAACAGCACAGAAATGTCAGGAATGAGCAGTGGATGAAAATGTCAACAACTTGATGAATAAGTGTAAAGGCTACTGGCATGGAAAACGGACATCAAAAGATCAAAACAGATCCTGAAAATGCAAGAGTAACTGACTGTTTTCAAAGTAGTTAGCGGGTGAAACATATGGATAATGTAAACTGTGTCTCTGTAAAGCTCTAAATTAGTCCATAGGCTGTGTCCTATCAAATATCCAGAGTGGAAGCTGCAGGAGGTCTGGCAGCAGGACAAATGAGACATGTCAAGGAGAGCACTGACAGCCGTCCCCTACAGACATGGAACTTCTTCTTCTTTTGAGAAGTGGCAAAGTGATTCACTCAGAGACGTAGGAGGAGTAATCTTGGCTCTGGCACCAGCCTATTCACCATTCACTGGAACCTATTTTAGGGTGCCGCGTTGCAGTTGCGAGTTCAGTCGTGAGAGTGAAGTGGAAACACAGTCAAGTGTCAGGGGCCTTATTTTTAGCCTTACCAGGCAGCATCACCAATACAACTACATGTCTCATCTGTCTCTTTCCTCTGAACGCAGCGGCTGGGTCCTGTGGAGGAAACTATCTCCAACTAATCTCCATGTATGAGATAATAGCAGCTAGGATTACCCCTCCCCATGCAATAAATACTGCACATCATGTAATGGGGGGCTGCTGCTGCTGCTGCTGCTGCTGTTGTTGTTGTTGTTGTTGGTAAAAGGAAAACCCCAAGCAAAGCCAGAAGTCAATCATTCCTAGTTCTATTATGGGCATGATTCAGACTTTCCTGGTAGACAACTGTTGGCAGTTAAGGGCAGTAGTAAAACAGCGTTTGGACATTGGACACTTGTAACACAGAAGGATGTTTCATAACCCAAATGTACATAGACAAATATCAACAAGCTGATATTATAATAGGACAGCAAGAAATATATATATATATATATATATATATATATAAATAACAGCACATGTCTAAACTTTAAAACAATTTGTTTAGGTATGCTACAGCAAGTTAGCGAATGTGTAGGACTCTTTGGCGCCAACCAAAATGTATTTACAACACCGAGATCCTGATTTCATTTTAGACTTTCACAAATTGTAGACTATATTTTATTGAGGTACATGTTTTGTTTGGCCATGTTTAAAGAGCACGCACAACCTGTGCTTATCAATATTTTTACAATGCTTTCCAATCAATGATTGTGTTCTGTGAAGGTTCATACACAGCTACACAGAAACTGACTATTAATTTTTTTCTACAAGGAGGTTTCCGCTGTCTTGGAATAAGAAAAGAAATTACTTTTTGGCTGCAGTGGACAGCTTTTTTCAGACAAAAAAAGAAATCTGATAAATAACACTAGTAAATGCTACTTGTCCAGCAGCAGACTGCAGATGACGTAAGTTAGCAACTGATGCTAAGTCATTACCATAGCGATAAAAGCTGTTGTGCAGGACTTTTACATATAAATGAAACTCAGTTAAAACCAAAGTCCACACAATGCAGATTGAGTCTATTAACCACTGGTAAATCTCTTTGTGTTTTGCAGCATACAAGAGTTTTAAATCTGGTGTCTATGGCGACATTCCAGCGCTTTTGTACTGGTATTGATGTGTTCGCCGTCAACCAGCAATGTTTGTTTTGTCAGAGCTGAAAACAGCAGCAACTGTAGCAACAGAGACAGAGTAAGCTGCAGCAACTACAAGTATGGTGGAGTTTACCAGGGAGGACCTATGAAGTGCCTCAGAAACGTTTCTTGATAAAAATAAACTGTGTTCAGTGGAAGGATTACAGTCTAAAAAAAAAATGAAGCTATCGGCACCGTGGAAATGCACTGTAGCCACATGTCATTCGCACATATAAACAGTGTTTGTGTAATTTCTCTCACTGACAATGCTCCACATTGTAGGTGTAATTATCAGCTACATAGCCACATATTTCTCTCAGGAGTTGGCAGACACCAAACAGAGCGCTAAAAAAAGTGATATTTGTCTAGTATTTATCACATGACCAAAAACATGACTGCAAATGCATGATAATGCTGATCTGTAGGCAAACAGCTAAAATGCTAATAACTTTACACAGTAAAAAGATTTCAGTCCAATTGTGTGTTCACTTCATTCTTGCCTTCTAGTGTAAAAAACAATGAGTGAAATTATACGGTTTTAAAATTTGGGATTCTCCTGTAAAATTCACTGAAACATCTGGCACTATACTACACACCCAGACCTGTTTATACAGCGGTTTGACACTCAAACAACGCTGGTGAGAGTGCCGCAGCTGCAGACCCGCACCGTCACAGACGTCACTTTGCCTTGAAAAGCTTCCATGTGATTCTGTTGTTTTAAATGTCAACTAAATTAATAATGGTATTTACAAATGAAATATTCAGAGTATTTACATCACAGAAACATGTCAAAGGGAAGAAGTTGTCCCTCTGTGTCCATGATGTTCTGAGAAGAAAATAACCAAACGAATCATCATTTATTTATCCAACATGTATGTTTAACTGCTCTACATGGCTGCAGTTCAAACCGCAATCTGATGTAGAAAAGATCACTTCTGATCAGTGAATAGAAGAAGTCTGATGAATCCCAAATGTTTCGTAACAACATTAACGCTTTCTTCCTCCAGAGCCCAGGAGAGACAAACTAGCTCTGAGGATATCACACCCAACTAAACACAGCACCAGACAGCTAAATGAGCACAACATCAGACGTGACATTTCCTGTGTTGAATAATCATGAGTCCTAGAACACGCTTTTTTTAATTTTTTTCTTCTTCTTTTTCTGTGATATCAAGCCAAGCCCTGACAATAAACCATGCAACTGGCATGTGAGCGCACTACTGGCGCTCAGCTGAGTCACTGCCGTGGCTCAAACCTGTGTCTGCAGGCACTAGAAGTCAGCAGTGACAGGTTGAAACAATAACTGTGCTCTGATTACTCACTGGAGCTTCCAGTGAGTCACTGCTAAAGGAGACAGCATTGTCTGACAAGACAGCATGCTAGCTAGAATGTTGTCAGTGTGATGTTCATTAAAAGAGTTGCATAAATCAGAGTCAGGCAGATTATGTTGGGACTGAGAGGTTAAGTTGGCAAACTAAAGGTGTTGTTATGTTAGGGTATGTTTCCTTGAAGTACATATAAAGCAATGTTCCTATGAAATAAAGTGTCTTCTCAAGTATTATCTATTTAATTTTGCTTTTAATTAGCTTTTTTAAAGAAGTAGAATAGTTTCTACCAATGGTAGTTACTACCACCCTCTGGAGAAAACTTAGAAAAAGGCAAAAATGTCACTCCATACCATACACACATGCACACACCTGAAACCCAGGACAAGCAGCGAGAGGACTTACCTGTCCACAGCCAGGAGCGTTGCACACAAAAGGTCGGTCGTCCCCCATTTTTGCAAAAAGCTTGCAATGTAGCTGTGGGAGAGGAGAAGAGGAGAACATTGCCGCAGCTTTTCGAGATTTGTGAACTGGCAATTCCTGAAAACAACAAAACAGGGATGCTGTGGCTTGTAGTCTTTAGTCTGAGCAGGAAGCCGAATGCTATTTAAAAATAACCCTGGCAAGGAGGAAAACACGCACAGAGGCAGCGAGAAGAAGTTTCCCTGGTGATACTTCCTTCACACAGGGGGGCTTCTCGTTGGCCAATGAGGAGCCGCTTACGAGAGAGGACGGCAGCTAACGTTCACACAAAGACATCTACCTCTCCTTCTGCCTTTGCCTCTGTCTCATTTTCGCTCTATTCCGATCCCTCCTTCTCTCATTACCACTCCCTCTCCTCACCTCTCCAGCACCTTGCAACCTTGCCCCTTCTTGTAGCTCTCATTCAATGTCTCACACTCTCTGATTCAGCTCTTTCTCTCTGTGTTCTGTCTCTCTTTCAGTCATCTTCACATCCACTTCCTGAGGACTCTCAGGTGCATTCACAATACTAATATGTTGCATGGGGCCCATTCACACTTACCTGTTACTGTACCTCACTCGTACTTGTTCTCCCTGTTAACCTCTTTTTCTTTGCACATGAATACCAATGAATGGTGCTGTGATACTTTCAGTATGAGTATTGGTGCTTTCGTAAAATAACACAAACGAGTGGAGGGTGACAAGGTCTCTGAGAAAAGAAGAACGGATAGAGTGGAGGCGTTTCATTGTGATTTGACTCAGACGTAACAGTCAAATAAGTTTAAAAGACGGCGCCACTTTACCGTAGTTTAAGACCAGGAAAAAACAAACTTACACTGGTATAATGATGTTTTAGTGACAACAATTTCAAAATATATACTTAATATTAGAAAATCTACCTTTGCTGACTGGGTGCTGAGGAGAATTATGATCAAATCTAAATCAGCAAGGCTAACAGCACATAAAAGCACTGTTACATCTAGGCTTGCATAGTGTAAGCTAAGATATAGTCCACAAAATAAATCTCACATTTTTCTCTACAATGATCAATTGGACTTGAAACTATCATTATTGTCAAATGCATTAGAGAATAATCACTTCTTTTTTGCAATGGTTCACGTCTGATATGTTTGTACCAATTGTAAGAACACAGAATGACAGATTTTATTAGGAAGTTATTGGCATAGTATAAATATTTTACTATACTGTAAAAATAGTGGCACATAAGGATAGCACTGTGCACTAAAGCTGTGCAAAGCTTCTATCAGCAACTCAACCCCATCCCCGACTCCCCCCAAAGCACCCCACCCTGCTCTTCTCTGCACAGCTGAAAAACACTCCACGTGAAGACAAACTGGGAAGTTTAGAAAAATAACTCATTAAATTTAAATCAGGGAATTGGTGGGGAGGGGGAGTGATAGACATTAATGTTTTAGCACTCTCAGCTGGCCCGAAGTGACGTCTGGCAGCTATTACACAATGCCGTCCCACTGACAGAGCAGCAACTACAACACGCATCAAGGACTTTGTTATGTATACAAGCAGACACAATTCAATGAACAAAAGCCGCTCAGTATTATATATACGCTGTAAACATACTATACTCAGTAAGGTTCGGCTCATGACACCACACAATCATGAGCAGAAATACCGTCTGGCTTTGATGATTTATTAACTAAACCTTCAAAATTTACATCCAAGATTTTGTGTCCTCCTAAACTTTGACTTCCACTATGTTGACCTAACATGACAGCCTCTAGGCTTTTGTGCTGTTTTGACTTGTTTGTAAGACTTGTTTCATCATGTTAATTTTAAAAGTTGCTTTAAAAGCCTAACACATACAGCTAATCCTCAAACTGGAAAGCAAGCTGCAATAAAACTGGTAAGTATTATAATATTACTGAGTTACTGACCACATTAACCTCTGTTGTACCTATTACATGAGTTGAGAATGTCGTCTAACATTATTGAGTGGGACAGATTATTCATTATTTTGGCGAGGCATAAATGTCTGAAAGTTTTCCCAATGTTGAAGTCAGTATATTTTCCTCCTTCCTCCCTCCATTTCTCCCTCTGCCGAGGACAGCTGCCCCTGAGCCAACACATGATTACTGAGGCATTGCGCTGGAATACGACGCTCTCCCATGACGCTGAGCCTGTAACGCGACTAACTGTTGTGTCTCCCAGCTCCATGTCTTTATGAGGAAAGGGGTCTGCATTATATTTGCAAGGAGAAGCCGCACCTCTCTGCAGACATCAAAGTCCATAAAGCAAAGCTGTCTGATTTTTTGCAGACCTCCCATGCTCTGGAGAAAGGCAACAGGTCAGTGCCAGAGCCCTCACAAAGTGCTTCCAATCCACTGAGTCTATTTGGGCAGAGATGTGTCTGCAAACGAGATACTCCATCTAGCTCGTTATACCAAGGGTGTGGACTGTGTGGGGAAATGGACACATCTGGCGTGAGGAGTGGGAACAGATTTCTGAGTTTACATCTTACTAAAGACATGCTAGACATTAACTTGGCTGGCTGGCACCAACATGAAATGTGGGATTTGATTTTGTGGAAAGTCCACCATAAATTCCAGATGACAGGGGTGGAAAATACCACTTGTTTTCATAGCTGCCCCAACCAATATCTTAACCTGATTAAAACAGATGTGTTGAGGATTTTTTCTTAAGCAGTACTATCTGTAATCCTCTGCTAAAATCATATGTATGGAGAAAGAAATGGTGCTGTTAATTTACTACTTTGACTGTCAGATGAGTCTCACTGAGAGTAAACTGAGAATAACTAAAGAGTTGACAGTTTAAAGTTTTACTGCACCCTGTAAAATGTCTGCTTCATGCAGACCTCAACTGTATATGAGAGACAATAAATCAGTCGGCCAGTCACATCCGTCCTGATGCACATCACTGATATTCATTACAGGCCTTGATATCAAGTGCACCTATTTTCGCCTTCTTTCATCCAAGGTGACATGGAAGCACTCAAAGTGCCCTAATTCCTGTCCCTCTTATTGAGCTGCTGCCAAAGTCCCACCGTTAACTTGGATTTCTCCGACTCAGCAGGTGTAGGGGAACAAGTCCCAGCTATAATCAGCCACAGCCATCCAGTGTTTGATGCAGCCTGCTAGGAAACTGACTAAACAAACTGTATTAATAGCTCGCGCTGCAGCCATGACTCTGGAATCTGAGGCTTAAATTGCCAAAGGGTAGGGGAGACCCCACAAAAAGAAAAAGAACTTAAGAAGGGAGAGAGAGCGAGCAAATCTGTGAAACAGTGAAAAAAAGAAAACGGCCTTCATCAGTTGGTAAGTATCATAAATATTTGCAAGGTAACAGGTGACGCCTATGAGCTTTTGAGACAGGACATCTAGGCTGTGACTGGGTACGTGCAGCAGCCGATATGTATTTATGTAAGCAAAGCGAACACAAGATTTAGTAAATGGAACAAATGAAATCCTATATCCGCGTCTGCATAACTAACAAGGCCTAAAAGCTGAATCCATGCCGAGCTAGCAGACAATGCAGGACGATACAGGATGGACCCCAGGCAGTTTTCTAAAATTAAATCAGAAACACTGTGCCGATTTGATTTGTGGTCTGCAACTCTAACAAGCACCGACTGTGAGGTGTTAGTTCTGTAAGTCCCAATTTAAAAAGAAAAAACCCTGCAATGTTTTATTTTTCACCAGAAGCAATATAGCCTTTAGTGCTTTGCTTAATAATTTATACTTAATGCACTATAGCACCATGAGTCCAGTAATGAATTAACAAATCAATAATTAAATAGATTAACATAAAATCTTCCACATGAACCTGAAAGCATGCATTTCGGTACATTTATTGACGAATAAGGAATATTTATGCTGCACACAACTTCAAATGTATGTCATGACTGAGAGTGGGTCAAGATGTCTGGACCAAACATACTGCAGTTTTCTCCGGTGTAACACTTCCCTATGTGATGGAATGAAGTACAAGTCTGCCAAAAACATGACCTACATTCCTAATGAAGGTGTTGACATGGGGATACGGATCGTGGGGCGTTTAACAGTTCAGATTGCAATACTATGGATATCACTATTACTTGAGACTTTGAGGGTTTTTTTGAGACTTCTTGCAGACCCACATTGTCACCACAGTACATTTTACCGCTAATAAAACACAAAAGCCAATATTTTTTGCCAAGATGAAGTTAAAATGAATATCCAAACTCCTGCAAACTTTAGTTCTTACTTCCAGACAACGTTGACTAGCTTCAAAAGGTTTGTCATTTTTAGCCTCCATTACCTTCTGGCTACGTACGGACACACTTAGCCCTGCCTTTTCCCGTAACAAGACCGCCTATTCTTTTCAGCAATTGGCCATAAGCACGTCAGTCAGCAGCAACTAAAGCACGCATAGCTTTGAACCCTGTCAATAACAGCAGCTCGCTCAATCTCATTGGTTCAAATCACGAAATCAACTTTTTTGTATCCACGCAAAACTAATGGCTAGCTGCTGTGGCTAGCGTTAACAACAGGCCGAACGCACGTTTAAAGTGAGTAATAACAGCGCTACTAACAGTTCCTGCCAGGGCAACAAACACACACCAACGCTGATTTAATTACACCCAAAGTAAACTGGTGTATTTTGAAGGTGTTAAGGACATTTAAAAATCGCAAAAGCAGAAAAAGCTAGCAGTTGGCTGGTTAGCGGACTGACACTTGAGTGCAAAGCGAGACACAGTGGGTCCGAATGAAACGTTGGAGCTGCCACAACAGTTTTGACAATTCCAAAGACACGTCATTTGGACAACAACAAACACCAAAAACTGTCGCGCCGAGTGCAACTTTGTTATCGATTAGTGTCGTCGACATATCTGTAGTGAATTTAAAGGTTAATAAAGTGTTTACAAACTCACCCTCGCGCCCCTCTCTCTGACTCCCCTCTCCTCTCCTCTCCCTTGGAATTTGACACGCCCCTCGACGTCGAATTATCGCGAGAATTCAGGAACGCTATCGGAGCCACACTTTCAAAAGCGCAATTTTAATATTTTATTTAATCTTTTTTTTTTTAAAGCAATTTTTGTATTGCTTTTGCAACATATATGATTAAAATATGTGTATATGATATTTTTAAGATTTCTATAAAAAAAATTTTGTCTTTTAATACTTGTACTGACGCCTACAGCTGTACACAGGGACACAAAGAAAGTGTAAATGGACTAACTTTACGGTATATTTGCAGTGGGAAGCAATATTAAGGCTGGTAGCTATACTGGGTTTTTTTTTTTATTTGAGCCATCACATATTGGCAAAGAGTCATTTTTAACAGGTAATGACAAATTGATGTCCACCAAGCACCCCTGAAAAAATTTTGCCAGTTAAGACTGTTAATATTAGCAAAGAGTTATTTTAGTAGCGATGATAATTTGGCGTTTTTTTAAAGTGAAAAAATATTCTTGAAATGCTTTTTTTTTTTTAAAAACAACAACAACAAAAAAAACTGCCAGTCTTAAGCAGGGTTTTGGGAGTGTCAACATGTCCTTACTTTCCTTCCTCTTTTTATGTGTCAAAATGTCTAACCCTATTTGAATATTAGAGAGGCACCATGTTTTCCAGGAAATGTAAAAATATATATGAGATAAATGCTAAATTCTAACAAATACAGTCAAAATCTCTGAACAAGTTTTGCATTTGATTATATGGTCCAGAGAATATTCATAAAACTTAAAAACTCAGCTGACAACTTAATTACATACACACAAAACATACACAGAATTATAAAACCCAAAGCTCATCTAAGGTATTTATTACTTTTTTTTTTAAACTGTCAGATCACGTACGATATGGAGAGAAAGCAAAAGTTTAGCAATAAAACAAAAAAGGACCAAATCCCATGCTATATGCAACTAATCAGAGATTTTCTAAGAGTCATTTTCTTTTCAAGACTGCGGGAAAGGCAATCGTAGTCTCAGTTTGGGATTTCAATGAAAGAATTTTACTCATAATAGCAAACTGTACAAGACGATCACTTCTGCTTTTCTCTCTGTCAATTAGAGGAGTACTGAATGCATGCAGTGTACAAAAATGTGCTTTGTGATTCAGAAATTGTGTGTCTATGCTGAGCTTTTTCTGTAAAAGCTCATTTGAAGCTTAAATTGTTGTATAAATCAGATATTATCCATATGCCATTTCTCAGTCCAGATAAAAATGAACACATATAAAGACAACAATAGAAGCTAGAAGTTTGGAAGTGCATTAGGCATTAAAGATAAACCAGCTGATGTAATCCACATTCAGTGTTACTTAACATTGCAAGTTTTTTCATTCAGAGGCTGTTTTAGAAGTGAATAAATGTGAATTCAGAGACAAGGTTAGAGAGACCCCCAGTGGATAATTTGAGTATTGAATGCACAAAGGTTCATGTTTGTATTCTGTTCAGGAGCCAAAGTAAACTGTACAGTCATTCATTTCTTTGACTGTTTGTCTATTTTCCACACTTCTTTCCAGGTATTTGTTTGTTTGTTTTGTTTTTTCCAGAATCAAAATCAATTTAGATTAGCCGTATAAGTTCCCAGTTGTGTCATAAATTCATCAGAGTATCAGAATAGACTTTCCCGCGAAGTTTAAAATTGCTTCAATAGTATTTAAAAAGTCTGGTTTCTCTCATTCCGTGAGTTTCTCTGGACCTCTCATTACAACGGCTGTGATTCAGCCTAATCAGTGCAGTAAAACTGTAATTATACAGGCAGGCACAAAGTAGTCACTGTACTCACTCCTAATTAGTAATGAGAGGATGCAATTCCTCACAATTAAGTCACAAGCTGCCCTTTTCTATACTACACTGTAATAAATCATGATAAAAACACAGCCAAATTCTAACAGTAGTGTACGGTTTTCTTCCAAAATACAGTTAAATACAGTAAAATCTGATGCTGCTAAGATTACTATTGCTAATTTTAAACTGAGCACAAATGATCCATAAATATGGAATCAGCCTTAACCTTTGCTGTTTTGGGTGTTTTAGTGGTTTATGCATTTTTAAAAATGTTTATCAGAGTTAATAGATCACAATTCTGGATCATAAAGATTTAAGACAACTTTTTATTTATGGTGTGTGTGTCTGCTATTCCCAGTAGTGTTTATACATTTTAAAGAAGAAAATGTTCCATGTTGTATGTTTACTGGTAACTACGGTTATAGTTGATGTTGATTACAGTGGAAACACAGTCATAGTTTTAAACAGTAGACCTTATATTCTACTGCAGAGTGCTGTAATCAATTAGGAAGAAATAAGCTGATAGAGTACGTTACAATAGTAACACTTGACTGCTGTAAAATACTGGCAACCATTGCTCAGTATTTTACTATGAACTTTATATTCTACAGCTGAATGCAGTGATATGTTTTATGGAAATTAACTGTGAATATAAATTACAGCAGTGACACTGTAAAAATACAGCAAAACACTAAATGTTACAGGAAAATCTGAATTTGAAGAAAAGTTGTTATTCATATTGTTGTTGACCCAGCAGATATTGCTACATATAACGATTGCTTTTCCTTGTGTACAGGTGTCTGCTGTGTGAGATGTAAAGAACCTGTGAAAATTAAGCCTCAATCAGGGTCTAATTAATATAAATACAGCAAGTATTTCACTACAGGTAACTACAAGTGAGATTCTAAATTATGCCGAATTGTAATTTGTTAAATAAAACATTTTAGTGAAGAACAGCAGAGAGGAAAAAAACAGTCTGGAATATAAAGGCATTTACTTGCTGTATGTTGACAAAGAAAAAAAAGCACCTTTGCTGGTGTACACAAGACATGATCTAAGGGGTTCATTTTTACACATCTGCAGAACAGGCAAACAAAACCAAGCACAGAAATGGTCAGATTTTAGACAAACGCTCTAACAAACTTCTACTTTGCAAGCTCATTTAGTGAATCTTTCATGGACAAAACTTAGTTATCATGCCATGTCATGATTTCCACATTTAAACATTTAAAGTAAAGTAATTTCCAAAGATATCCTGCAAAATTTCAGACCCGTGAGCACCCCTGAAAACCCAAAGTTTTGCAAGTTAAGACTGGAAAGATCCATTGTTTAAAAAAACAAACAAAAGAAAACAACATTTATTCCTCCTTGGCAATTGGAACTGCACTCTTCAATAAAATAAAGCCCAAATTCTCAGTCATATATGACATCAGAGGACTAGCTGGAGGCAAAGTTAGCGTGCCTGGCACATTTAGTGAAACAAATATGTGAAACCTATGATAATATTCAGCAACCTTTTGTTGCTTCACATAAATAAAACTGTTCCCATCTGGCACAATCTTTTCTGTTCTGCTTAAAAGCATGTTGTTATTTTTTTTCCTTAATTATTATTTATTGTTTTTCCCTTGAAATAAAATGATTGCATTGTGAGTTCACTGGGACGTCACTGAGAAAAAGATGGCCACTCCTACTGTCAGACACGTTACGTTCATACATTTGTTCCTCAGCACTACTTCAGGAACTGCACCTTCTGACAGAATTACAGGACAGCCTACATCACAGGGCATCAGGCCTCATTTATAAACCTTATGTTTAACACGAATGCTAAAGTGAGCATAGAATCCTCAGTTTAACACTAAACTCAACACTTAGGACTTTCCTTGCCTCGTTGACAAACTTAACAGCATATTATTCTTTCATTATATGTATTTCAAAAAAGAAATGGTTACTGTGTTTTAGCAAATAAAAAATGAATCATAAACCTAATTAAAATTTCAAAGAGGTGCTGGCTCTTCATGAGTGTATTTATAACATGATTGGACACAAGCTGGTTAGATCTTAAGTCAGTTCTTATAATGAAGCCAGACAAACCTGATAGTTTCTTTCTGAAACCTTTAAACAGGTTAGGTGCTACGTAACAACACAAGATGATGTACTGATGGAGGTTTGGACTACAGATGATGATCAAAACCCTCAATCTGTACTCACATTACTGCTCATTTAGATGTTTTGCTACTATTAGGTAGTAATAAAGACAGAGAGAGCTCTGTGGATCTCTCTCAGTGCATACATTTGTATCAATTAGTGAAAAGGTTTAATAAATGAAGGCCTTTGTCAGACAATATCCTGTAATTCAACAGAGACACTTCCCTGCCAATAAATGCAGTGTGATGAGCTGTCTAATAACCAGCCAGTGAGGTCTGAGAACGCCCAAGTGGTTTCATCATCAGTCTCTCAACAGAAGGTAGTCTTTGATAGTCTCTGGTAGAGGAAGCTCTTTTACTGCAGTGGGGAGGAACTGCACTCCCAGACTCTGCCGTACAGCGCAGCGGGCCAGAGAGCGAAGTGAAGGAGCCTGAGCCACCATGTTGGTCAGCCTGGCCAGCAGCTGGGGATCCTTACTCAGCTCCCTGGGGAGGGTTCCATCAGCCCGTCGTATCTCAAACCGCCCAGCTGCTCGACACAGCAGCTCCAAGCACTCTTCCTCCTGTTCAGTGCCCAGGCCCCGGGCCAACAAGGCCACCAGTCGGGAGATAGGGGTCTGGCCCTTCAGGTTGGTCACATGGACCTGGGCTCCGTAGTCTAAAAGCACTTTGACGCTCTCCAGGTTGCCCTTCATTGCTGCCCAGCTCAAAGGTGTGTCATTGTTGTAGTCCCGGGCATTGGGACAGGCCCCGCTCTCCAGCAGGGCCCTCACACACTCTGGGTTATCTTTAAAGGCGGCCCAGTGGAGTGGAGTGTCCTTGTTGCCATCCAGGGCATTTGGCTGAGCCCCGTACTCCAACAGCAGCTCCACACAGCTCTCATCCTTCTCGGCTGCATAGTGCAGGGCTGTGCGGTTATAGCCGTCCAAAGCATTCACCTGATGAGGAATGGAGTTAACAGCATTTAGGCGCCGATGTTAAATGGGCAAATGCAATGTTCAGTGCAAAACTGTAGGATACCCTGACAGTGTATCTCCAAGTTCACCTGGTGTTTTAGGTCATCTACATGCAGCAGGACAAATGCAAAAGTCATGGTGAAGTGGAACAAAGACCACATTCAGAGAATTTTCTGCACACTTGGTCGTGATGTAGACTTCATTTTAAACAGACAAAAACAATATATTTTGCTCATCAATCTTTGCCCAGAATGAAGAAAAGAAGCCCAAAGGTTAACGATTTGCAGTGATCACCATCTTAAAAAAAAAACAAGGACATAATTTCTGGACATACAGTTTAATTTTGAATCTTATATATTTGAAGGTTGTGAGCCCCAACAAACAAAATTATATTCACAGGGACTTGGCGATATGTAAGAAAACGCTGCTTTTTGTCTAATTTAGATAAACTGACTCTTCAAACTACGATTGGCTATTTTGCACATTTTCACACAAACACTTCAAAACACACTCTTTTATTTTATTGTCCTGAATCAGCACCAAATAAGCTAGCATTGTTAAGATCAATAAATACAATTTCCTAAGCACAGTGTGCAATTCAGCATTTAGAGACAGATGATTGTCTTCATGTAAATTATACTCAGCTTCACTTTTATCACTGCAGAGTTCTGAATATTAGCCCAGCTCACATCTGCATTGTCCCACAAAAGCTGCACATCTTTAAGAAAAATAAACCTCAGCATGATGTTCAGTGTGATGGATTACCTGTCAAAAGCAAACTCTCTGTAAGTTGACTTTTATGTCATATATAGCTATAGAAAGGTGGGAAATCCACCTAAAATCTAATGTTATAATGTGGGGGAAAGGTTCAAATTTGGCTACAACGTACCTCTGCACCCTTCTCCAACAGCAGCTCCACACAGTCTGCATCAGCGACCATGCAGGCACAGTGCAGGGGTTTGAGCGTGCCATGCATTCGGTTCACATCAGCTCCCTTAGGCATACAGAAAATGAAGATGTTAATATTACCAACGCCAGTGAGAGACACTGTTCATTTAAGTGTGACAAGCGGGCCTACCTTACGAATAAGATCCTCTACATTGTCGTGAGGGAATGAGCGGATGGCTGCGATGGTGCGGATGAGCCGCTCAGACAAGGAGTATTTACTTTGAATGCTTTGCATGATGTACCACATAGTAGAGCTCATGTGTAACAGAGGACCATGGCACCCGAGACGGGGTGACACTGCGGCACGCTGAAACAAATTTTCAAGAATCTGTAGTTAAAAGCTGTAAGACACAACGGGATCAGTGACCCTTAAAAAAAAAGCTGAGCAACAAAAATGGAAACGTCTTTGCTTGTTTTTCAGTAATTCAGGAGATTAAACATCCTATTTTTTACATTTGCTGCTTTAATGCAGAAACAGGAAATACACTGTTCCCATCAAGGTGTTGTGTTATATTGTAATCCAACCTGCACACAGAAAAATCTCCATAAATGTCACATAAAATGACACTGGTTTGTTGTGATGAGTTGTGATGATTACTGAGGGTCCAATGGTCTTTTCTTTTATTTAGCTATTATCACACTCTATTTTTTTAAATCCACATATACATGAAATGACCCAAGATTATTTTCAACTTATGTGTCTTATTTTATATTTGAAATTTTGCTAGAACATTTTTGATAACCGTGGTAAACAAATGACTGTTTACCAAATACCACTTTTCCTTGTTCTTTGATTATTATCTTGTTGGAGGTTATAGAGAAATGCTGTTCAAACACTACAGGTGTGCTATAGGTGGTATGTTTGTGCAGTAATGTGCTAGCCTCACGTTATTCTGCTGTGGTTATTTAACAGAACCAGCTGTCAGCAAAATATCAGCCGTGTAAGTAATTAACAACACAACAAATGACACTGACAGCTAACGTTAGCTCGGTCGACAACAACACAAAAAAGACAGTCTGCATCAATAATGCACGATTTGCACTGACTGACATCTTAAAGGGTAAAATACAAATCACTTGGATGAGAAAAGGCGCTGACGGTGTGATTACCAGAGGTGTAAAAAAAATAAATAAAATAAAACAGTGATCCCGGCTACATTTTTAGCAGCGAGTTAGCTAGTAGCAAGCTAACGTTAGCATCGAGATGCGAACAACAGCAGACAGTCGCGAGCGAAAAAAAAATCGAGTGACATGAATTTCAAACTCTTGCAAACGCGTTTTAAAACGCACCCGGTATCTGTCATCGCTAAATGTGCGATGCTGGAGCGAGAACGTACCGTTTATGGTCCACGGTTTGAAGGTCTGACAGGTTACCGTACGGACTGTTTGCTGCTCGGGCCGACATAAACACGGAGCGTGACGGCTGGCCACGCCCTCCGCCTCCTGCCTCGGTATTTAAACTGGGAGCCCGTTAACGAAGGACTGCTGGTTGTTGTTTTTTTTTTTTTTAAACTTCAAATAACTCGATATTTTCTCCGAACAGCGGCGTTTACGAGCTCTGACTGGAAGCTGCGTCCTTGCCAAGTGTACGTACTTTCCCAATATAGGCATGTATGGCGGCAGCAGGCATCCATCGGCATGCCGTGAATACCTCCAGCTCATGTCCATGTTCAGGAGGCACCAGGCCGGGGGCCGGCACATGCCGGTGGTCGGGACGTGATTCTTCCTCGCTCAAATAAAGTGTTTCTACTTACTGTAACTTGAACCTAACCAGTTATCTGCTCCTAGTACTGTAATCTAATAAATACCCTATGAAATATTTTTTTTTTTAAAAAAGACAAGCAAACCAAAAACAGACCATGAACAATGTTATTTATGTCGTAGTTCATATTTAGTATGAGATGAACCAGAACCCGAGAGGAAAACAGGTTGCAGTGAAATTCATTTTACACTGAAAATTAGACGTGAAGTTGTCATGATGCTGAGAAGTAGATTATGGACATTATTATCATACGGCATTAGAATTATATTGCAATGACAAATAAATTCATAATTTTCATGTTAATGTTTCTGATCAAACATCATGCAAACAGACACCACGTGCCCAAGTCCTCAAATCAGCAGTCCTACAAATATATGAGAAAGAAAAGCAGCAAATCCTCAAACACACACACACACTATGATATTTGAGGTATATATAAATATATGGTTATATTTCAAATTAATGTTCTTTTTACCTCAATTTTCTAAGCTGTTTGCATTGTCTTGCATGTAAAAACATAATTACATGATTTCAGGAATCATTTTTTGTCAGAAAATTAGACAACCACCACACTGAAGAGGTAACGTCCTCAGATTGATAGTTTTGTCACAAGCAGACATAAAATTATATGAAAAAGAAAAGCAGTAAACCCTCATCAACACACACTTACATATCCAGTGTAGTATGATGTATAAATATATAAGGTCATATTCCAAATGAATGTTCAGACCAATGCCTCAACTTTATTTTGTTGTTTTTGTCTCTCTGTTCTTAGTTTAGTTGTTTTACACTTCATAGATAAATCTGTCATCATGTACAGATTTTTCTTTGTCAAAAGAACAATCAACATCCTTCTGAGGTAACATCCTAAAATTGATAATTTCATGAGTCACACATTTAAAAGAAAAAGAAAAGCCATAAATCCTTGCGTGTATACAACCCTGCAACCCGTTGATGGCTTTAGTGGATGCACAAAACATAACGGTAAAAAAATGTGACACTGGAAAGCCAAATCAAAATAATTTATTTTTGGTGACATTTCATACAGTTCTAAGATTGTGTCTCAAACACTTGGTTGATCCTTTACTACATTTCCTTTAGCCTCCCCAACCCAAATTAACAGAAATTAACCCAAACATATTGTGGGGGGGAAAGCAATTCCTGTAGGTATTTGCAAGCCTGTCAACATCAACCATATGCTTCTAAAATGATTTCACATTACTCATGAGTAAGATTCTTTTTAAAACAAGTTAGTGCATTTATTTAATTATACTAAATCACTAGCTGCTCATACTCATTAATGGAAAAAAAACAAACAAACAAAAAAAAAAAAACAGCCCCAGTGATTGGATATACTCGTTTAACTGCATTACTAAACCCAAAGTCAATGCATCAAGTATTTTCTCTCAGCGACATCTTGATCAGTATATAAATGTCATGTGTGAACTTTTTTTTTGTTTGTTTTTTTCCATTTTATTTTTTTTGCCAATGCGATTTCACACAACTTTGGGGAAACCAGCCTACCAAGATTGGGAGAAAAGCGTTGCGCATTAGAATTAAAATAAATAAATTTTAAAAAGCAATACATACAGTGAGTCAAACTTGAAATTCTAAGTCAACCTGTTCGTTTTTTTTTCTCAAAAATTAAAAAAGAAGAAAAAAAAAAAAAAAACCCCAGCAAACTCACCCTAAAAGCACAAAACAATCTGGTGGATACCTGCTGTCAAAAGTCTCCCTCTGTAAATTCAGTACTAGAACAATTACATTCTCCCACACACATTTCTAGTGAAGGGTTATTACAATATAGCATAGGCAACTACACCTCTACAGCTTCTTCAAAATCCAGTTTTACTGGGCCAAAAGTTTCCCCAAGACTACTTGTTTTTTTTTTTTAGCAGACCTCATCAATAAAAATCAAAACTTTATCCTAGCACTCTATGATCGTAGGCAGCTGGCACATAGCACGTGAAAATGTTCCAATTGTCTTCATACCCACGACTTGGCTGCCAGATATTATGTAGCTATCACCTTTAGCTAACAGCACTCCTCAGGTCTATTTTTTTGACATTATGCCATTGTTAAGAACAATTCACAGATATAAGCTTAACCTGGATATCCTGTGATGATGTAGAAAAGCCAAACCTCACCTAAACCACCAGGCGCATTGAACAGTCAAATCTTAGCATTAACCTATTCTTTTTTTTTTTCTCATGAAAACGTCACCCAACTACCCAAACAAACATGTAAACAGAGAACCTGACTGATTATCAACATGACAATGTTCTGAATCCATTGGAGTGGGTAGACCCAAAACAATTCAGATAGACAGAGATAAAACTTAACATGAAAAACTTTGGACCAGGCTAGCAGGTTCACCGTGGCTAACAGGCCAGCGAGCACCCCAACGAGTATTTCGGCTTCAAACAAAACCACACATCTGACTGCGGCGTACATCAACAGCTTCTGATATCTGACGGAGAGCATTTAAGCCAATCATGAACCAGGATCAAAATACCACCATAGAAGAACACATTTCATTAATATACATTAGAAGACCACACCGTCCCGTCTCAGGACAATGATTCTGAATCTCTGATGTAAAAATCAAAACTCATCCGTTTCATTACATCCGTGCAACAGCACACTGGAGCACTTCAATCATTTTGCTTAACAATCAATGCATACACAGACATCAGTCAACCCTTCAGTCATACTTGCAAACCTAAGCACACAAGAAAAAAAAAAACAACTGATGTCTCGTTGCGTGTTAGTGATATCTTTGTATATGTACATGACATATATGCATGTTCTTTTCTTCTTAGTGCATATTGTTCTTGCAGACCAACATCTATTCTTTAAAATCAAAAAAAAAAAAAAAAAAAAGGTAGAGGGCCATTTACGCGGCCCAGTATCCCACCTCTCCCTAGCAGAGCATAAATGAATGGCCTCCAGATTAAATCGCACTTAAAATTCTTTTAAGCATAATGCTGGAGGCCCAGACAAGATTTTTGTTTACTTTCCCAATCACTCGTCAAAGTTCTTCAGTTGTCATTTTGCCCTTGAGTCCTGGATGTCACAGTCTCATTGTCATTTTAAAAGCTTTTCTTTGGACACGTTCCAGGGGGGGAAAGGTGGCTACCATAATGTTGTTGCTTTTATGTTATTCATTTTTATATAATTATATATATCCATGTATATATTCATACATCTTTTTTTTTCTATTCTTATCGAGTTTTTACTTTGGCGATACTGGTGGGATGTTCTGCTCTTTGCCAGTGTGCCTGTAGCCTCCCTGTGGGGAGTTGCGTCGGGCCGGGGGCGGGCGCCTCTGGTCCCGGAACTTGAGGCCCCCGGTGCCTCTGGGGCCGTTGCTGCGGTAGTAGCCTTGAGAGTCACGTTCACGTGGCGGCCGGCTCTCCTTGCATTCCCATCCCCCCTCCCTGTCGTGGCCTTTCTCTTGCTTGTCTCCGGGGCTGCTGCTGGAGCCCACCTCCTCGGCCTTGTTCACCCGCAGCTCACGCAACGGCTGGCCCGACGCGGTGCCAGAGGAGGCTGGGGCAGGGGCTGCAGGGGGAGGGTCCTTGGGTGGCCGTTGGCACACTTCGGCGTAGCTGAGTTTACGGGGTTCCTGTGCAAAAGGTGTGGGGGAAAAAGAAAGAAAATCAATCACATGTTTACAAGACGAATCGCACACAGAATCATCTACTGTCATGCTTCTCGTGGTCAAACCCTCAGATCTCATAATCTTAACGCTCATTGGGGTAGGAGTGAAAATTCTGGACTTGTGGTGGGAAAGAGCAGAGAGAGAGGAAAAGATAAAGACAGAAACAACAGTGGAGAGTTTACAGAGATGAAGGAGAGAACCAAAGCCAGTCATTTCACTACCTCACTTCCCTCTATGCGCAAAAGATCTCATCATCAGGAAGACGTCTGTGCTCAAGTGGCGGTAGGCGTTACAAAGAACCAGACTCTCACCTGTGCAGGGGCGGGAACGGTGGCTGTTGCAGGGATCGGCGTGCTCGGTGTCGCTGGTGTGGAGGCAGCAGAGGGCTGAGGCCTGGAGCTAGGCACGGGCTGTGTGGCGGGTGAGGGGTTGACGGTAGTTTGAACAGGTGTGCGTGGAGCTGGTTTCGGAGCTGGAGGCTCAGCCCGCTCCACTCTCTTCTCCTGACGAGTGATACTGGTAGAGCAAAAGATTCAGACATTCAAGTTAACATCTTAAGTTTAATACAAGTCTCTGAGTCTAAAAACCAAGTATCTTGAAATAGAATTTGCATCATTTCAAACAGTCGTACCCAGGGGCCAAAGGTCCAAGTGGTTGAGTAGCAGATTTTGCGGCTGCCAGGGCAGGACTTGAGACAGCCACAGCTTCCTCTGTCGCTGAGGCTTGGCCTGAACCTGGATTCACAGTGGCTTCTTTATTGGCTTGTTCGGTCTATAAAAAGCAAAGAGATATGCACATTAAACTTCTGCAGTCTCAGTCTTAACAATCCTGTCAGTGCAGTGTTATGAACTCAGTTTCTTACCTTGTCTCTGTACAAACCACGTACGACATCGGACATTCGGTTTTCTAGCACTGGCTCTCCCTGTGTGCTGACCACGCAGCCAGGAAGAGGTGGGAAATTGGTGGCAGCCAAGTCAAACTTGG